ATACTATTTCTCGGGCATTAGGTTTTAACTCTTATAAGAATATACATATTTTTTTCTGTTAATGTACAAATATTTTTCCGATGTGTTTTGGATATTCCTTCTCTAATAAAAAGAGATACCATTTTGTTTTCGGTTGTACAAGAAAGAAGATCAAGCATTTTTCTTTTTTAAATTTAATAAGCCACATTAAAGAAGGAACGTTGCAATGCTACACGCTACATTAACGACGTCTCCAGAGTAACTGAATGACGGTTCATATGGAAATCGCAGGTAAGCGTCTCATACAACAACGCCCCCTATAGTTCGTTGCGATCGCGAATTAAACATTGTTTATTAAGTTACTTTAAATTTAGATTAATAGATTCAATAAACTACGTGAAAATTCGGTTAACCCATTAAATCAAAATTCCCAACATTTTAAAGCATAGATATAACGGAAAAACTAATGAAAATAAAAGCTATTTAGAAACTGTTTGTATTATAAAAAGTTGAAAAATGAATTAAATTTGAAACATTGCAAAATTAAAAAAGTATTCATAAAATGTAAGATTTTGTGATATTTTTAGAAAGAAGTAGTTTTACAATTGTATTTTGAGGTCGTTTAGATATTACGTAAGCACCTAAGCAGGAAGGGTTGTGATATAATATATATATATGTATATAAAACAAGATAAATAAATACAAGAAAACACGAAGAAAGTTAAGAAAAACAATAAGTTTCATTTATTGCGCATAAGCTTCAAGTAAATAGAAGTCATAAAATAAGTACAAAATGTAGAGAAAATATGGAAAAAATTACAGAACAATGAAAAAAGGGGAAAAAGTGAAATAATAATAAAAATAAAAATCTTGAAAAATAAAAATCTTCCAAAAAACGGAAAAAATTAATTAAATTCCGGATTTCCATTAGTTTTTTTCCTTTTTTTTTTATTTTTTTGTTTTCCGGGTTCTTATTATTTTAATTTTTATTATTATTTCCCTTTTTCCCCTTTTTTCATTGTTTTGTAATTTTTTCCATATTTTCTCCACCTTTTGAACTTATTTTATGAATTCTATTTACTCGCAGCTTATGCGCAGTATATAACACTTATTGCTTTTCTTAATTTTCTTCGTGTTTTTTTTTTCTTTTTGGTATGTGGGTCCGAATCATCTGAACTTCACAAAATGGCAATCAATAATTCACACTTGCAATTTTAACTTCATGATTCAAATTGTTTTAAAATTAAAATAAAATGAATGAAAGAAATTGTTCATCTGTAAATTATTTATCTCTAATTTAACAGTATATATATATTTTTTATTTATTCTGTTTCACTGTATTTTTAGTTTGCTCTCTGTGACATTAGAAACCGATACTTTTTCCCATCGGTCAACAATAGGGACGTATATTTTGTAAGTAAAAGATGAGTAAGAGATGATTTGGTAACAGTTTTCACCAAGGAAATATTCAAGATTGCTTGAAATAGACATTTTTTTTAGAATTCAGACACAAAAAAATATTTATTATTCTTATTGTAAATTTAATTACATAATTATTGAGTGAAAAATTGTTATCTTGGAGGGGGCTGAATCCCTTCATTAACAAATATAAGGGTCTCAAGCCCCTCTGCCCTCCCCTGTTCCGCGGTCCCTGATAATAATTATTATAAATTTTATGTAAAAATGCCTTCCGAGAATGCATGCAATTAAAATTAGGAAAACAAAATAGCTATTGGAAATTAAAGTAATATTTATAATTAACTTTTCGTATTTATTGTTGAATAATATATTTTACGAAAAGCATCGATAAAGTTTTCATAGAAACCATAGGCACTATAACAATTCCAAAAAGAAGTTAGTAAACGAAATTGAATGGTAACCTAGTAAAATGATAAAGTTTAAAATTTATTCAAATAGATTCGGAAACTAAATTTATGGAAAAAAATTTGCTTTTTTCTAAGTCTGTTTTTTTTTTCTCACTTCCAAACAGTAACTTTTCAAATTTGCACTTATTTGAAGGTATTTAGATCCAAGAGAAGCAGCTATTTATCATTGAAATTTATTCAATTTGCGAAATCAATTAATTAGAAATTTTTGAATATGAATGAGGTTTAAATTTTAGTCTTATAGAATCAGAAACTAAATTTGCAAAACCCAGTCTGCATAAATGCAATAAAAATTTTCAATCTAAGAGATACAGTTATTTAGATCTAAGAGAAGCAGTTATTTAGATCTACGATAAACAGTTATTTAGATCTATGAGCAACAGTTATTTAGATTTAAGAAAAACAGTTCCTTAGATCTAATAGAAATAGTTATTCAACATTGAAATTTCTTTGATTTACAAAATCAGCTATTGATAAAATTTTGCATATGAATGAAAAAATATTTCAAATTACTTTTTTTGTATTTCATACTTTAGTACAAATATATTTCCGATAATCTAACAAATATTTTTAGAAATTATTTGACTGTTTTTCTTATAATTAAAAAATATCGAAATATACTTTTACTTGTAATTTGAGAGTCAGAAAAAGAATATTTTAAGGGGACACCGGTGCGTAATGCGTTAAAACTGTCTCTTAAAAATAATAATTTAAAAACCTTATTCATTTAAATACATGTAGTTGAAAACGTGTTGCCTTTAAAAGAAATAAGCACTTAAATAAACCGGGATTTATTAATTAAATTTCATATTTGATTACCTTTCTCTAGTTGAGAATTTAAGCCTTCTTTGCTGATAAAGTCCTTACCCTTCCAATTGATAGGTGGTGGTAGAGACATAGGTTTATTTACGTTGTTGTACCAATATTGTCCAGCTGAAATAATAATATAATAATAAAAAATTAAATCGCATTATTCAACTCTATGAATTTAAGTGTCTAGATATAAAATACTTTTCGGTTCCGGACATTTGCGCGACAGGTACGCTTTTCTGTCATACTCATTTTCCCGTCATGTATAGTGCTCAAAATGAAAGTGACCACCCTAAATAACTTTTGGTCTAATGATCGGAACTTTAAGATTCAATCTTAATGGTTCAAGAAGGACTAATTTCTTTTTTTGCTATATGCTTATTTCTTTTTTTATTTTATTTCTAATGGTAGATTAAAAGACAACTGTAGACAGAAATTCAAACAATAACATTAGAACTTGGTTTATCCGCTATTTGAGCAATTTTTGTTGCCTTTTTGGACAGGGAATCAGTTGTTTCATTTCCCTGGAGTCCACAGTGCGGCGTCACCCAGCGAAATGCAACCTTTTCATGGTTTTCAATTAAATCATCAAGAGCTAAGCGAATATTTAAAATATCAGCTGACGTCGGAGCCTCAGATGAAGCAATGGTCAGGAGAGCAGCCATAGAATCTGATAGTTTGACGGCCCTTGAAAATTTTTAAATTTGACGTTTTAACTGTGACAAGGCAATTTGAATTACTGAGATCTCAGCATCATAGGCTGTTTTATACCTTCTTACAGGAGCGTTGAAAGAGAATAGCCTACACAGGAGACCCCAGCATTAATACAGTCAGTCGCCATGTCTGTAAACACGTGTAGCCATCTGGGTACAGTCCCTGTATAGCATCTAAAGCTACAGCTTTTAGTATTAAGTCATTTCTTTCTTTCTTAGGAATCTCATTTGGCAGGTTTGTTAACCACGTACTTTCTTCCTTTAGTTGGACATTGTGACTTGATGAGATTTTCCTTCCCACAAATCAGTCCCAGTTGTTTATTTGTCAGTCCCAGTTGCTTTATTTCGAAGACACTCTAAAGGAAACTTATTTCGTGTCCTTGTAGATGATGACAAAGGGTTATTTCACAAGGCAAGATAATCTGGTAGTCTTACGATCTTTTCTCGTAAAATTATTGCCTTAACTGATTTATTTTTAAATGTCGAGTGGATATCAAAAGCGCTTTCGATATCTTTGGAATCTGTCTAGGGAATCAATAACCTGTTTACTTGCTAACGCCAGAGTTTCGGAACAGTAAGTGAATAGTGGCAGAATATAGGAATTAAAAATCAAGTTCAGGGTTGTTCTACAACATCCCCACTTAGAGTCAGCACTTCTTTTAGGAGCCTTTTTCTAATATATGCAACGTAGATCAACCCCCTCGTGGTGCGCCCTGGGAAACGCTAATTGATCTTCAATTCTGGCAATATGTGCTGCTCTCAAAGAAAACATGCTAATTAATTAGTGATATTTTTTTAATTAGCTATATTTATAGTTACAGAAATCAGACGCAAACAGACCCTCATAATATAGGATGAAATATGATCCCAATAGTTTTATTAGGAGAGCAATCCAAAGTTCGGACCTCCTCAAAGTTAATTTTACATTTTGCATATTTCACGATACCTCGACAATTTTTTAAGCGAATTTGCAAAGCTTTTGCATGCCATTATAAAATTCGTTTTTTCAAAGATAATGCCATTCGAAATATAACTTTTAGTAATTTTTAATTTGATTTATTATTTCTTAAAATTTAATTCAATAGTGGAAAACATTTTAAATTGTAAGGTATGCAAATTTTCACACCCTTTAAAAGAATGTATTTTTTAATAGCAAAGTATGAAATTTGGGAGAAATTCGTCGAATAGTTCCTGAGAAATCAAATTTTAAAAATACGATTAATTCAAAACTTGAATTGATTTATCGACCAATTTTGTTCAAATTTTGCATTTTGTCATTTGAAATTGCATTTAAAATTATATAAAAAATTTGTATTGAGCCCTAAAACGTGAAGATCCGATCATTAGATTAAAAGTTATTTAGGGAGATCCGTTTATTATTATTTTTTGTGCGCACTGTACATTTGTCTGACAATTTAATTTTCTCGACATGAGCATTTTCCCGGTAATTATATTCCCTACAGATACGTTTTTCTAGACAGGTTTGGCATGCTAGGAAAATGAGGAAAGTTTTTTGGTTATTTTTCTTTATCGTATCGTCTCGCTATTGTTAATAAGACTTATTCATTGCAATTATACTGTTCTATTACTATTTTGATTTTAGATTACTACTACTCAGTATGAAAATCTAAGAGCTGCATCATTTTTCCTTCATTCAAAAGGATTTAACGATATTTCACGTTTAATAAGAGCGGTAAGTTATAAATATTTGTTGAATCAAATTAGTAAATTTTGATTGCCATATCAAAATGAACTGTCTACTACGCACGTTATAATAGGCGTGGGATAAGAAAGTATTATATAATGCATCAGTTGTTACAATGGGAAGGTGGCTGTAATGGAGGGCTGTATACAAGAGAGCGTAGACTGTACTAGAGAGCGTAGATAATACTCCGTTGCGCGTTTAAAAAAGACTATTACGGTATAGGATTTAAGTAAGCATCTGTGACTGCATATAGTACCGTTTTATTTTGTAATCAAATTATATTAAACATGCTTTCAAAACAGTACAATAACTTTTAAAAGTTAAGCATGTCAGACAGAAATTTAATTCGTGATATATTTCGCGATATGTATCATAGAATTATTAAACAAAAAATATTATAGTTTCGTAGTCTTACTGAAATCCTAGCCTTGGAGATACATTTCGATTAATAAGCTGAATATCCGTTCCTGAAGAAGAAACAACTACATGTCGTAGCTTAAATCATTGAATTTGATTGGACTATTAAAAGTGGTGCGTCTTATGCGGGCATGCCCTTAACAAATCAAATGTAAGATAAAAAGTATTACTTTTGTTTCGTTGTATTAGAAAATATTCTGCAAGAAGCAATTTTTATTATTCTTTCATCCATTTCTTTAAATGTGAACAGAAAGTATTGTTTATACATGATGCAACTCTCTAATTTTACGGTAAACAAAATACAGTAGTTTTTATTCACTAAGTTTTGCTTCCTCATTTCACGCGATTTAAGAAAGCAATCAAAAAGAAGACTGTGCAACTGTGAAAAGAAGACTGTGGTAGTTTTGTTGGCGATGTTGGCATCCATTTGAAATGCAAACTACGAACTACTACCATTTGAAATGCAAACACTACGATGCAAACAGGCTCTCTACATAGACATTGAGATAATGGTTTTTTCCTTAATTTGCAGTCCCGCAGTGGACTGATCGTTAAGACACGGTTCTCATCAGATCACCGAAGTCAAGCATCACTGGCTGCGGTCAGTGTGCGGGTGGGTGACCCACTTGGATCAGTCTGCGTAGGGACCGAGGGTGTGCGGTATTGGTCCTCGTTAAACTGTGCTACCGTAAAGTGCTCGACTTCGCGCGCAGGTCGTCGGGCTACCGAAGCGGGGGTGCCATCCCCTCCGCAGAGGATCAAAATTGTGATGGCATGTCTTCGGATCATACTCCGGGATGCTTCCCAGACCGTCGCCAATAGCCCATTGTGCAGCTCTAGTGCGACGTAAATTAACAACAACAACCTTAATTTGCAACAGGGTATGGTATTTTGCAAAAATCAATGATTAATCTGATCAATTATGTCTGTCAACCAGTCAAGGTTTTCGTAATTTTTTTTCTTCAAGCAAATGAGTTGTTGGGGAAACGACCCTACCAGGATAACGTATCTGTTACGGAAAATGAGCTATCGGACAACCATATCTGCCAGGAAAATGATCTGTTTAGCAAACGTACCTACCGGGCAAACATAGTCGGGCAATGAAGCTGTCGGACAACCTAGCGTTGGGATAAAATATCGGTCTCATATTTTCAAATCGTTCTTTAAGGGGCTTTACTTTGTAAATATAAAGCAGAAATTTTATCATTTCTTTTACCTCTTATATTAATATTTTAACACTCTATAGAAACTTTAATAGATGTGACCAAAATTTATGTTGAATTAATCATTTATATTGAATTAATCATTGCTACAAATTTAATTTTTGGATGTTAAAGTTTCAGAATCGTGACTTAAAGAAGTAGCATCATTATAATGATTTACAGAAACTTTTCTTATGAAATTAAAAAAAAATAAGTATTCATAATTTGCCTAAAACATTCCTTTATAATTTTATGCAAGAATTTTGCATAAATTTTTTTAGTACCATTTTCAAAAATATATCTTGAAATTTTTATTATAACTTTTTATTAACAAAGTATTTATAAATTCTTAATTTTCTTATAACTTTTAAGATAATCGAAAATATAAATACTGTGAAAGCTGATGATTAAAAAAAAAAAAAAAACTAAAATGGTAGCCAATTTTACAATTTGATTTATATAGATTTTTATAACATTGCTTATTAAAATACACAGTATGAATTAATATAACTTTAAGTATCCAATTTACATGTATACCTTTCTCTATACTTGAAAAACAAGAGTGGGTCATAAGAAATGAAATTTAATGGCAGAGGATGATTGAAAAATCAAATTGTTTTTGCTCATTCCGATTTACCAAAATATATTTGTAAATTAAAAGCAATATATCTAGGTTCTGCAACTAACTTAATTCTTAGTATTAGAGTGAAATTAAAACTTTTTAAAAACTCTATCAGTTTCATGAAACAGTCGCAACCTCTTTAATTTTTCCCTCTTGCTGAAACGGCGTAATTGCTAAAATTAGACAAAGTATCCAGTTTAAGCTACTGGACCAAAATTTCTTTCTATTATGTGAAGAACCATTTATGAGTAACGCTGTTTATCAAAGCTCTGTCACCAAGGAAAATAAAAAAAGTCAGTTTAAGTGAAACAAAGCTATGGTTTTAAAAGTTATTAAACTTTTTTAAAAATCTCCAATTCGGCTATATTCTCCTACCCAGATGAAAATTATTAAAAACAATGACTTATTTTCCCTTTTCGTAAATTTCAGCCCAGATAAAGCAGCTATAGAGAATTTTTTTAAAT